GTGATATTGACAATCAAATAGAGGATCAGATTGTAGTTTTCGGTATATAATTTCTTTTGCAATGCTTGATCGTCTGTTGCGAAATCTCTAGTAGTGCTTCTACTGATAATATTTTCTTGTGTTGTGGAAATTCAGGATCTAAGGTCTAAGGATAATTCTCTGGTAGTGCTAAAAAATGGCATCAAAGTCTTTCAAAGGGAGCCGATCATCTTTATCGATTTCCTCTGATGCAGCAGAGTCACATAAGCCTCCAATACCTCCAACTGTGACATTTGGCCGGAGAACTTCCTCGGGTCGTTATGTGAGCTATTCAAGGGATGATCTTGATAGTGAGCTTGGTACTAGTGATTTCATGAACTATACAGTGCATATACCACCCACCCCTGACAACCAACCCATGGACCCTTCTATTTCTCAAAAGGTTGAAGAGCAATATGTATCGAATTCACTTTTTACTGGTGGATTCAATAGTGTTACAAGAGCTCATCTCATGGACAAGGTGATTGAGTCTGAAGCAAACCATCCCCAGATGGCTGGTGCAAAAGGATCTTCATGTGCAATCCCTGGGTGTGATGCTAAGGTGATGAGTGATGAACGTGGTGCAGATATTCTCCCTTGTGAGTGTGATTTCAAAATTTGTCGGGATTGTTATATTGATGCAGTTAAAACAGGGGGTGGAATGTGCCCTGGATGTAAGGAGCCATATAAGAACACAGATCTGGATGAAACAGCTGTAGATAATAATGCTAGGCCACTTCCGCTTCCTCCGCCTGGTACGATGTCCAAAATGGAGAGGAGGTTGTCCTTAATGAAGTCAACTAAGTCAGTGCTGATGAGGAGTCAAACGGGAGATTTTGATCACAATCGTTGGCTGTTTGAGACTAGAGGGACTTATGGTTATGGCAATGCTATATGGCCAAAGGATGGTAATCTAGGAAATGGAAACGATGATGAAGTTGTTGAGCCACAAGAGTTGATAAGCAAACCCTGGAGGCCACTTACTAGGAAATTAAAAATACCGGCGGCTGTTCTTAGCCCATATCGGTATAGTCCTCATTTCTGGGTTGTTCATAATGTTATATTTCTTCTATATGTTTTTGGATTTTACTATGGCAATTACACATTTGAAGGTTTAAGGTTTTGTACTGCCACATTTCTGTCCAAGCTAGCACAGGAACGGGAAGTACCCTGCTAAATGATATGCGTATGCACAGTAGCTTAACATGATTGCACAACATATTAATAAATCTAGGAAGGTGAAAATTATGTTAATCCTGTTTCTCCTCTTTGTTTCATTTACCTTTTAACCTTTCTTTGTTTTTTATTTTTTTAAAAAAAAACCTGCATATGAGTGGGTCTGCTGATTTATGAGGTTAAAATTATGCAGTTATATCTTGTAAATGGAAAAGAATTCTCTCAAAAGTGAATTTATATCATTCATGATATTCTTTTAACTTTATGTTTATTTCCTAATTTTCTTATTATTAAATTGCTTGTAAATTAAAAAAATTCTCTTTTATCTGCTTAAAAACTGTAAATTAAAAGATGAATTAATAATACATATTCACGCACAACATATGTATAATCATGCAGTAGTGCTTAGGGAAACAGAATAGAGTCCAGGTCACTGATAGACTTCCTAGACACTATACTAACCAGCTCATTGGAACCTTTTACTTACTTGTTGCAAAATTTCATCTTAGTTTTCTTTAACAAGTCATGGACCATTTCCATTTCTACTTAAGAGTTTTTCATATGCATTGCATGCATTCATGTCTTCGTTGTTGGTAACATTATGATTTTTATCATTCACTAACTTTGCTTTCTGTGTCATGTACGCTTGCAGGCTTCTAATTTTTTTGCGAGTTGTTGTTCTTGCATTGTTTTTGGCTTGGAGGGTCAACCATCCAAACAATGATGCAGTTTGGCTATGGGGAATGTCTGTGGTTTGTGAAATTTGGTTTGCTTTTTCATGGCTTCTTGACCAACTGCCCAAGCTCTGCCCAGTCAATCGTGCTACAGATCTTAATGTGTTGAAGGACAAATTTGAAACACCAAGCCCTAGCAACCCTACTGGAAAATCTGATCTGCCAGGCATAGATGTCTTTGTTTCAACTGCAGATCCAGAGAAAGAACCACCTCTTGTCACTGCAAACACTATCTTGTCGATTCTAGCTGCAGATTACCCTGTTGAAAAACTTGCTTGTTATGTTTCTGATGATGGAGGAGCACTTTTAACATTCGAGGCCATGGCAGAAGCAGCAAGTTTTGCTAATATATGGGTTCCATTTTGCCGTAAACATGATATTGAACCCAGGAATCCAGAATCTTACTTCAATCTGAAGAGGGATCCTTACAAGAATAAAGTCAAACCAGATTTTGTCAAGGACCGTCGACGAGTTAAACGTGAGTATGATGAATTCAAGGTCCGTATCAATAGTTTGCCAGACTCCATCCGCCGTAGGTCTGATGCCTATCATGCAAGGGAGGAAATCAAGGCAATGAAGCTTCAGAGACAGAATAGGGAAGATGAACCTGTAGAGAGTGTGAAGATTCCAAAAGCAACATGGATGGCTGATGGAACTCATTGGCCAGGAACTTGGTTGAATGCAGCGCCTGAGCACTCTCGGGGTGACCATGCTGGTATAATTCAGGTATTTGTTATTATTAAAATATGTTATTTTTCACATTTTCAACTAGTAGATTGTATGAACATATTTTCACCCTTTTTTGTGCTTTAAATTGGTAATAATGAGTTTTAAGAGGTTTTTCATTTAGGGGAAAAGTGAAGTTGAGATAAGCTGACAATGTGATGCTGATATTTTCTTTCTTTTTTCTTAATTTTTGTTTGCACAGGTGATGTTGAAACCTCCCAGTGATGAACCGCTACATGGAACTGCTGATGATAGGCTCATTGATCTCACTGATGTTGATATTCGTCTCCCATTGCTTGTTTATGTTTCTCGTGAGAAGCGCCCAGGCTATGATCACAATAAGAAGGCAGGTGCCATGAATGCCCTGGTTCGGGCATCTGCAATTATGTCCAATGGCCCATTCATCCTGAACCTTGACTGTGATCACTATATCTACAACTCTCAGGCAATGAGGGAAGGCATGTGCTTTATGATGGATCGAGGAGGTGACCGCATTTGTTATGTCCAGTTCCCTCAGAGGTTTGAGGGTATTGACCCTTCTGATCGATATGCCAATCACAATACCGTTTTCTTTGATGTGAACATGCGAGCCCTTGATGGTCTTATGGGCCCTGTCTATGTCGGAACTGGATGTCTCTTTCGAAGGGTTGCCCTTTATGGCTTTGACCCACCTCGATCAAAAGAACACCATCCTGGTTGCTGCAGTTGCTGCTTTTTTGGTCGTAACAAGAAGCATTCCTCAATGGCACACACTCCAGAGGAAAACCATGCTCTGAGAATGGGCGATTCTGATGATGAGGAAATGAATCTCTCCCTGCTTCCTAAGAGGTTTGGGAACTCGACATTTCTCATTGATTCAATTCCAGTTGCTGAGTTTCAAGGTCGTCCCCTTGCAGATCACCCAGCTGTGAAGAATGGGCGCCCACCTGGTGCTCTCACTATTCCTCGTGAACTTCTTGATGCCTCAACTGTTGCAGAGGCAATCAGTGTCATTTCATGCTGGTATGAGGACAAGACTGAATGGGGACACCGTGTTGGGTGGATTTATGGGTCTGTTACTGAAGATGTGGTCACTGGGTATAGAATGCACAACAGAGGATGGAAATCAGTTTATTGTGTGACCAAGCGAGATGCTTTCCGTGGAACTGCTCCAATCAATCTCACTGATAGGCTTCACCAAGTCCTGCGTTGGGCTACTGGTTCTGTTGAGATTTTCTTTTCCCGTAACAATGCCTTCCTTGCTAGCCCAAGAATGAAGTTGCTGCAGAGGATTGCATATCTTAACGTTGGAATCTATCCCTTCACCTCCATTTTCCTGATTGTCTACTGTTTCCTCCCTGCACTTTCCCTTTTCTCTGGCCAGTTCATTGTTCAGACCCTCAATGTCACTTTCCTTACTTACCTCCTCATCATTACAGTGACTCTTTGTTTGTTAGCTGTGCTTGAAATTAAGTGGTCTGGCATTGAGTTAGAAGAATGGTGGAGAAATGAGCAGTTTTGGTTGATTGGGGGGACAAGTGCTCATCTTGCTGCTGTGCTTCAGGGGCTCTTGAAAGTGATTGCTGGGATTGAGATTTCTTTCACCTTGACATCAAAATCAGCGGGAGATGATGTGGATGATGAGTTTGCTGATCTCTACACTGTCAAATGGACTTCTTTGATGATACCACCAATCACGATCATGATGGTCAACTTAATAGCAATAGCAGTCGGGTTTAGCCGAACAATTTACAGTGTTATTCCACAGTGGAGTCGTCTTCTAGGTGGAGTTTTCTTCAGTTTCTGGGTTTTGGCTCATCTCTATCCTTTTGCTAAAGGGCTTATGGGACGAAGAGGGAGGACACCTACCATTGTTTTTGTATGGTCAGGTCTTATTGCCATCACCATATCCCTCCTTTGGGTGGCAATCAACCCCCCATCTGGTACCAGCCAAATTGGAGGCTCATTCCAGTTCCCTTGATTGGACATTCTTTATGTTAAGGTGAATCAGTTCAATGATATTCCTTTATTTATTCTTTTTTTTTTCCCTTTCATGCAAGCAGATTATGCTGGTTAAAAGACTAGGCATGTTGTATATCATGTGCCCATTGGAATGTACCTTAACAGTAACTTGCAGCAATTTTAGTGAGGTTGGATGGGATCCGAAGAATGGAAACTGGTTTCCCTGCTATTTTGTTCTTACTGTATGATTTTTACATGGATTACTCAATAGTACCTCAATTTTTTCTGGATGACTATCTTTATGATGCATTCATTTTGTAACTTTGATATAAACGTCAACCTCGAATGCAAAACGATCTGAACCCAAGAGAATTCAATTATTTTTCAATTTAAAATGACTCGCCTTGACCAGTCTAATTACCACCTCTAAATAGTAGTAGTTATTCTTCAAAAGTTTTGAACTTATAAAATCTTGCAGGCGTGCAACAGAGATGGGTTGTTTATGATCTACAACTCTTTCCAGAGGCCTGCGTCTTCCGAATCTTTAACAACGTTAGGTTACTTGGACAACGAATTCTTAAATCAACATGCAGGAAGTATGAAGTCAGTGGTTGAGGCAGCACATAAGCATGCCTAATCTAACCTCGATTCCTCCATTAACCATGCTCCCTTTATAACAACACCAGAAAATAAACAAGAGAAAATTTCCTCTGCTGATCACCACATAAACCGCCAAGCTGATGGCAACTTGTATCATCACCTTGGTTGTTCTTCTCATGGCACTCTTCCAATCAACATCTGCTACGAACATTCCTCCAAGGAATCAAGATCTAGGCGTCGCCATTGAAGAAATGCAGAAGGCTAACTACTTCACCTTCGTCATGCTGATCAACATGGTCCCTCTCGATCCAAAAATTCATGGAAATGTCACTTTCTTGATGCCCAATGACCGGATGTTGTCAAAAACAATAATTCCACACTCTGCAGTTTCTGCCTTCTTATATCGCCATTCAATACCCTCCCCTTTGCTTTTTGAGAATCTTCAATACATTCCAACAGGTTCAATTCTTCCCAGTTCAGAGCCGGAGTACATGCTCAAGATTTCAAACGGTGGTGGCAGGAGGAGTTTCTTCCTCAACGATGTGAGAATCATTAGCCCAAATATATGCACTGCAAGATCTTCCATCCGGTGCCATGGCATTGATGGGGTGTTGAGTGCAGTAAAGTTGCCAGGAAGTAACACTCCCCTGTCTACTTGCTCTAACAGCACGGGTTCTGCAGCATCACCCTCTCCGGTGGCTGCGCCACCATCACCAGCTCCAATTTTTCCTTTCTCTGATGATTCTCCTGTGCCTGCCCCGCAAACAGCTGATAGCAGCCAAAATAAATCAGGATCTTCACAGTTTCTATCAGATAGCAAACTGTTGAAATTTACAGGGACTCTTTTGGTAGTATCAATAATTGGAGTTTCCATGTGAAAGTTTATGAAAAATTTGAAAAAAACTTAAATATTTCAACTTGTAAATGTGCTTATTGATGGTTGGTAAGATTTTTTATGTATGTTTCAGCCTCAAATTCAGTGTATAATTGCATGGTGTGCTTAATTTTGATTAACTATTATTTTTTTAAATATTGTATTATGTTATGGGAACAACATAGAACAACTATGTTGGAAGTGAAAATAACTCAAAATGAGTGATAGGATTCACTGACTTATTTTTATGTTTAGAATGTTATAACGAGTCCGGCTTGATGACTTAGATGTGGAAGTAGTTAAGAGAATTTTTTTTAACTTTTTTTTGAAGTACACGTAATGTATTATCAAGTGTTATTACTCCACTATTCAAAACTTATGTTCACTATCTAATTACGTGCTCATTCTCTTAACATCCAATAAATTGTTTTTTTTTAATGTACTTTTCTCATAAGATGTCATTTTCATAATGAACATGCTCTTTCTATAACAAGCATGGCCTTCAATAATTGAATATGTTCTCCTAAAGGAACTTTCTGTTTACTAACTACCACTTTTATTTGCTATAAATATGAGAGTTTGGAAGGTTGAGAGGTGATCACAAAATAATAAAAAATACAACAAAGATCACTCTCAAATTAAACTCTCTCAAAGCTCTCTCAAATATTCTCTCTACTTTACTTTTTCCGTTTATCGTACTCTGCCGTTTTCTCCACCTTTCTTATTCTTCACTGTTGACCACCAAAGTTTGCATCCATATGCGTTTGCTGGCTATTATTGGCACTGTATTTGTAGTGAAGCTATTTTAAATTTAAGGTGTTCCATCCTAAGAGCATCGGTATTGAATTGAACGTGATGAATTTCCACTTTTTATCACTAAATTTAGATCTAACTCACAATGTATCCAAGGTTAGGATGAATGGATAGAGAGAGTCTTGAAGAATTCCACCTATATGACTACTCTCAACAATGCCAGAGTACTTGATGCTGTAAAAGTCACCTTTAAACTCTTGTATTCGTAGGGAGGCCAAAATTGAAGTATGCCGTGCTATACTTGCAAGATTGAGTACTTTTTTACATACTATAGTTGCTGCTTGGGGAAATTTTACTTTTACTCTTGAAGATATGTGCATTTTTTTGAAATTTCCTTATGTTGGGAGAGACAACTTTCGTTCCATCATACTTTCTAAGGAAGAGGAGAGTGTAAAGGAGTTTTTTGTAAACCTATTTAAGAGCCAAGTTCAAGCTTCCAAAGTAACACGCTCCTTTAATTGAGTAGGGCTCTTTTATAAGAAATTCAATATTAAAGGCAAAAGTAATCCTCTTAAATATCTAGATCACGCTCATGAGTTAGTGGCTTTGTTGATCATGTAGTTGGCTATATATGTCCTCTCAACTTGTCCAGATGATGGAATCTCTCTTCAATTAGTCCTTATGCAATCAAGATTGCTAAAGGTATGAGCTTTCCTTTTGATTGCACAAGGAATAGTTGAAGAGGAGATTCAATCATCCGAACACTTAGAAAGACATACCAAGCCATATGATAAACAAAGCCATTAACTCATGAGATTGATTTGGATATTTAAGAGCACTATTCTCTCTTTTAATATTGATTCTTATAGGAGAGCCCTACCTAGTTAAAGACATGCACCACTTTGGAAGCTTTAATTTGGCTTTTAAATAGGTCTACAAAGAACTCTTTGATACTTTTTTTTTCCCTATAAAGTATGATGGAATGAAAATCATCTCTTTCAACACAAGGAAGTTGTAAAAGAATGTGCACATCTTTAAGAGTAAAAGTTAACTCTCTTTAAGCAGTAACTATAACATGCGAAAAGGTACTCCATCTTGCAAGTATAGTGTGTCATACTTCAATTCTAGTTTCTTTATGAATATGGTGGAGTTTAAAGGTGGCTCTTATAGCATCAAAGACTCTACCATTGTTGAGAGCAGTTACTAGGCGGAATTCTTCAAAACTTTCTCTGTTTATTCATCCCAATCCTAGATTTATCGTGAGTTAGATTCAAATTTAGTGACAAAAAGTGAGAATTCACCGTATTCAAATCTAAACTTCAATATTGATGCTCTTAGGATGGGACACCTTATCTCTGGAGCAACTTCACTACAAATACAATGCCAATGATGATGCCATCATCTCAATTTTCAAGCATAAGAGGAACTTTACCAGTTCTCCTTACTCGCATTTTCTTAAAAAGAGAAGCTATAGTAGTATTTTTTCTTTTCTTTTCAATCAGGCTCACCATAGCAAACTTTTGACGTAAAATGAGTCTTGGCCATAAGATGAAAGAGTAAATTTCCTACAAGCATGAATAACAAACAACTATATAAATATTCATGCATTATCATTCCTACTTACGCACTATTACATCCTTTAAATTATAATAATGTTCCGTGTTTGTTTGTTTATCTTTATCTTTATGCCAATCAAAAAATAGATAAGAATATACACACACAAATCATTAAACACACACATAAAATAAAAAACCTTCCTGGTAATAATAAAAAAAAAAAATTTTCTTTCCTTTCTCAATGCAACATAGCAGCAGAAGAGAAACTATATAAAAAAGAAAAGATATTGTTGTAAAGAAACTTACTTGTGTAAAAAAATTTTAGATAGAAATCTTAGAGGTTGATTGTGGTTTTTTGCAAAACTATTCTCTCCTATTTTTAGATTTTGAGAAATTATTTTCCTAGTAGGAATCTAACACTTTAAATTGTCTTAGCAAATCTTTTTCCAATCTTCTTGTTTTTCCACATATATCTCTACTTCTTTTAATGTTTTCTTCATCTATCTTAAATTTTATTATTAGCATGCTTAAAAAAAATGAAAAGTGTTCAATTCTAAAATAAGCCCACGTAACAATCTTAGAACTCAATATCTACTTTACTAAGAAGGTGCCAACTTGAAGGATAAGTAACTACTCCATAAATCTAAAACATCTTACTTTCTTTTAAAATTTAAAATTCAAGCTAGAATGTCAGTTTAAGGAGGCAAGCCTTCTTTTGCGAGCTTCCACAACCTCGCATAGCAAGGTTTGTTATTAATCACAATATTCTAATTAAGCTTGAACAATTTATTAGCAAATCCTTTTACATCTCATTGTTTTTGTGCATATATCTCCACTTTCTAGGCCTCTCATCTTCAATTATTATTATGTATTATGCTTGAAAGATAAAATGTAAGATACATAGATCCGAAGTATATCCCACGATTTATCTGTCCAACGAAATAAACAATCTTAGAATGCAAAATCCACCTTTGTAACACCATGTCTTCTTTTGTTTTTTACTACCATGTTGCTTTACAACCTGTGCCTATGCTGGTGTTTTATTATCATCAAAGAAAATTGTTCTTCCAAGTGTCCTAGTAATTAAGGCTATTTGATTTTATATAATTCTAACAAAATTAATTCCTTTTTTAAATAATTTCAAGTTGGCATAACCTTGTGAACTACTGCTACTAGCTGTACCAGTTGAAATACAAAGATACTGGAATATTAATTTTTGAGCTAAATTTTGAATTGTGATTAAGCAGAAAAAGGCACTATATATATATATATATTTTCAAAATAATTAAAATTTACTCTAAAATGAAAGGTGGGTGCCTTTTCAAGTCTATGTGGTTGGCTAGAAAATATGAATGAAGATTTTCTCTGTTGAGTAGTGTTGAACAAGTTGGTGATTGGGTTAGAGTTCGCTTAGCTTGCCGGACGGACAATAAACGGCTTTGCCAGTTGATTCAAATCAATAACATTTTCCTTGGCATTAATTCTATTTTTTTGCCACTTCAAAAAGGTTAGGCCTACTATTGACTAGGATTCCATTTTATTCAGTGAGTATTGAAACAGTGATTAAATATATATATATATATGTCTGGTAAATTTAGACACATAAATATAAGGCATAATATACAAAAAAAAAGATTTAAATAAGTTTTTATAATTTTATTACGTTTAATCAAGTTCTTATATTTTTATTTTGAATCAAATAAACCCGTATATTTTTTATTTTGAGTCTGATAAGTTCTTATGACTAATAATTTACTTAATCAAAATATTATTTGTTATTTTATGTCACATGACAATGTGACATGTTAAAATATCATAATTAATTATAATGTGACATATTGGTATATATTAATACATGTTTACATGATATGATAATATGATCATGTAATATTTTTCACTTTTCATATCAATATTATGTCAGTACCAGGTAGATATAAAATTATAAATGATATTTTTACTAATGATAATTAGTCAATTATTAATCATAAAAGTTTATTTGATTCAAAATAAAAATATGAGAGCTTGATTAAACGTAATAAAATAATAATGACTTGTTTGAATATTCTTAAATAGTTTAAGAGCTTATTTGAGTATTACACCTAAATATAATAAAATCTCTTTATTTATTATTATTTTATTTTCAATTAAAATCTCATATTCGTTAAATTATAAGTATCATAATCATAAAAATATAATAAAAACTCTTTATGCATTATTAATTGATTTCTATTTAGATATTTGTCTTAAAAATTTAATTGTGAAAAATTCAAATCGAGAAATGTTAAACTCTAAATAAGTCAACTAAGAGACGTGGCACTTTTATCATTGAATTTTATATTATTTACGAACACAATCTCTTTGTTTTGTTTCCTCCACTTTCTCTTTCGACTAAAATTTTTGGATAAGTTGAATTCTAACAAGTTGGATTACGAAATAGTAAGTAATAAGGAAAAGAGAGAGAAAAAAAAATACAAAAATAGCAATCCCCTATTCAAAAAAGAAAAGTAAATGTTAGGTACTTCCCATAATGGAGGAAAGAATATATATATATATAAAAAGGAAAACTTAGCTTTAATTGTGAGAACAAATTTCTCTTGTACTAATAAGAGTTTAACCTAAGACGATAAGATTAAGTTTAGAGCACGATAAACCTTCTTCTATTGGGCCATGAAATTTTACCCAATTTTATTTACTTGGGGTTATTTTACTATTAAAATTATTTCACAACATAAATAAATTTGTTACCCATGAATAGCACATGGTTGATAATTAAAAAAGAGTTGTGCTCCTTCATCCCAACCTTCAAAAATTTATATATATGTGTTGTGTTTATGAAAAGCATGTGCCATGTTTATCATTCGTA